TGAAAAAAAAAATTTTAAAAAAATAAAAAAAAAAAAAATAAAAAAAAATAAAAACAGACTTGTATTATGGTATAATATACAGATGACCCTCAAACCACACAGATTTGAATTGTGCAGATCCACCTACGTGCGGATTTTTTTTATACATAGTGTAAAACTTTTTAGAGATTTGCGACAGTTTGAAAAAACTCTCACATGAGCCCCGAAATTTCTAGAAATTTCTAAAAATCGAAGATAAAGTTAGGCATGTCGTGAATGCATAAAATACATGTGGATACTAGTCTGTCTTTTATCATTTACTACCATGCAAATTTATTGCAAAAAGTTAAAATTTGCCAGCACTTAGGCACACAAATGCAGAGCCTGTATGGTGCCATTCGTAGTCTAGAGCAACGTAAACACATGTGAAGATACAGTGTTAAATCATAACTACGTAAAACTGCAGTGCACACGATACCTCTGTAGTGATTTCGTAGCCACCTCCTGTGGCTGCTGCCGTGAGCTCACGTGTTGCGAGTATCTGCTTAAAATATGGTGTGACACAGGATGTCTGGGGGGCCCAGTTGGTTAAGTGATCAACTCTTGATTTTGGCTCAGGTCACGATCTCACAGTTCGTGGATTCGAGCCCCCTGTTGGGCTCTGCACCGACGGCACGGAGCCTGCTTGGGACTCTCTCTCTCTCTTTCTCTGCCCCTCCCCCACTCATGCTCTGTCTCTCCCTGTATCAAAAGTAAATAAAACATTAAAAAATTTTTAAAGAAAAGAAAAAATAAATCATGAAGCCATTGCTGTAGCTATACCAGCAGACGCAAAAACCTTGCACTTTGGATGAAATATGTTTGTATCTCGTATTGAAAATACAGCTTTAGGGCGCCTGGGTGGCTCAGTCAGTTAAGCCTCTGACTCTTGATCTCAGCTAGGTCATGATCTCACAGTTTGTGGGTTTGAGCCCCGCCATCGGGCTCCACGCTGACAGTGCGAAGCCTGCTTCGGATTCTCTCTCTCTCTCCCCCTCTCTCTGCCCCTCACCCGCTCGTGCTTGCTCGCTCTCAAAAATAAATACATAAACATTAAAAAAAAAAAAAAAAAAGGAAACGCAGCTTCTATACGGTTTCAGGATTGCCGTAAGAAAGGCATACCTGTGGACTAAGCTGATTCGGGAGAAAGTGACATCATTCTATGACAACTTAGAGCACAAAGAAAGCAAAGGACCTAAAGCTGGAGACTTTAGTGCAGGAGATGGTTTGATAACCTCAGAAAGAGGTTTGGCTTTAAAAAATGCCAAGGTCGGGGTGCCTGGGTGGCTCGGTTGAGCGTCCAGCTTGGGCCTATGTCATGGTCTCAGGGTTCATGAGTTCGAGCCCTGCGTCAGGCTCTGTGCTGACAGCTCAGAGACTGGAGCCTGCTTTGGATTCTGTCTCCCTCTCTCTCTGCCCCTCCCCGCTCACATTCTGTCTCTCTCTCAAAAATAAATTAACGGAAGCAGCTTCTGTCAACCAAGAGGCAGGAGACAAGTTCCCAGATGCCGTTAAGAGAATCATTGAGGAGAAAGGATGTCTGCCCAAACAGGTTTTTAACATAGACGAAAGTGCCCTATTCTAGGGGAAAAAATGCTACAAAAAACATTTACTAGTAGGAAAGAGAAGTGATCGCCAGGATTTAAGGCCAGAAGGGATAAGCTAACTCTATGGTTTTGTACAAACGCAGTCGGGTTTCTGATCAGACAGCCCTTCTCTAGAGAGCCGCTAACCCCCAAGTTCTGAAGGGAGAATATAAATATTTTTTTGTCTTTATCTTGTACAAGAAGAAGGCCTGGACACCAAGAATCCTTTTTCTGGGTGGGTCCCTGATGAAGTATCTTTGATTTCAGACAGTACCCCATCCCAGAACCCTGTGAGTTCAACACCGAAGGCTTCAAACTGATCTCCTCACCTCCAAACACAGCGTCTCTAATTTAGCCTCTAGATCAGGGGTCAGAAGGACCTTTAATGCTCACTACACACGGTGTCCTATGGAAAGGATTGTCAACGCTGTGGAAGGGAACCCCAACAGAGAGCGTCACAGAAGTCTGGAAGGATTTCACCAGTGAAGGTGCCATCGTCGTTACAGAAAAAAGCCGCGAGAGCCACCAAGCCCGAAACAATAAATTCCTGTTGGAGAAAAGTCCAGACGTTGTGTGTGACTTCTTGGGATTTATCACACAGCCCCTCGGGGAAACCATGAGAAAGATTATGGGTCTGGCAAAAATGGCGGAGAGGCGGGAGGGAGATAAAGGGTTTTAAGATCTGGATCTTGGAGAAATTCGAGCGCTAACAGACACACCCAGAGGCACCCACAGGAGTCGACGTGATGGAGATGAGAGCCTTGGAACCAGTGCCAGACAGTGAGGAAGAAGATTCAAAAGGAGCACAGGAGACAAACTGATGTTAGACAGTCTGGCAAAAGCGTTCCGATGATTCAAGACTGCTTTTTAAAAATTGCTTTAAGTTTATTTGTTTTGAGAGAGAGAAAGAGAGAGAACACAACTTGGCGAGGGGCGGAGAGAGGGAGAGGGAGGATCCCAAGCAGGCTCAGCACCATCAGCATCGAGCCAGATGTGGGACTTGAACTCACCAACCATGAGACCATGACCTGAGCTGAGATCACGAGTTGGACGCTCTACCAGCTGAGCTACCCAGGCGCCCCTTGACGTCTTTTACAAGACGGACTTGGGCACTGTCCCTAAAGCGAATGGTGGAGGAAGAATTGGTTCTGTATGGAACCATTTTGAGAGAAATGAAAAGGCAAAAAAATTGGGCAGAGATTACGATGTATTTCTATGAACTCACACCCAGTGTGCCTGCCTCTCCAGCCTCCCCTTCCACCTCCCCCACCGCTCCCTCCCCTGATGCCGCTGGGACAGCAAGACCCCTCACCCCGTCCTCCTCCCCCGCCCCAGCCTTCTGGAAGGCAATGAGGATGGAGACTTTATGATGACCCGCTTCCACTTAGGGAATAATAATCATGGCGCCACACAGTTGATAAGCCGGCCCATCATGCATGCGTGTGTCTTCGTGTGAGAACCTCATAACCGTAGGGCTCAGACCATAGGAAGTGTCTTGTGTCATCCCCATTATCACCCAAGAATTCATTGTGTACGGCTTCCTGTGTTCACCTGCATGGAAGTGCATCGCCCACCCGTACGGAGGCATAAAGTGAGTGATAGTTAACATGAGGTTCATAAGGTGTTAGTTTTCTCACGGTTCTCGAACGTTGCTTTCAAAGAATTACAGTACACTACAGTGAGCGTCTCTTACAATTTGAGAAACCGTTTATCAACCTATCGCCACAGGCAAGTGGTTTGTTTTTTTTAAAGTGTTTCTAACACTGTGTTATGAATATGATTGTGATACCGTATGCCATAAAGATGTTATAACTACTTACCCAGTGTATGGGCTAGCTACCGCGGAGCAATCGTATCCATTTCAGTCATTGTTGCTGCTTCATTACTGACGTATGAATTGTGTTATGTGTGAATAAATACGAACTTTTCACATTGCCTTTTACGTGTTTTTTAATGTTTATCCATTTTGAGAGAGAGAGAGAGAGAGAGAGTGTGTGTGCACACGAGCAGGGGAAGGGGAGAGAATCTCAAGCAGGCTTCACGCCCAGCATGGAGTCCAGTGTAGGGCTCCATCTCAGGACCATGAGATCATGACCTGAGCTCAGATCAAGAGTCTGATGCCTTAACCAACTGAGCCGCCCCAGTGCCCCTCTTTTATTTTTTGAAGTCTACCGTTAGTAATATGTAGAGCATCTACAGTGTTTTGTATCATATATAAGAATATTGATGTAGATAATGACAGGTGATTCATGTTGTGAATGGACAATGTACTTTGGGTATCGATACGTACAGTACTGTAAATGTATTTGCTCTCCCTTAGGATTTTCTTAATAGCATTTTCTTTTTTCTAGCATACCTTCTTGTAAGAATACCTTATGCAATACATGTAACATGCAGAATGTGTGTTAATTGCCTGTTTATTTTATCAGTAAGGCTTCCAGTCAACAGTAGGCTGTTAGTAGTTAAGTTTGGGGGAATCAAAAGTTATACGCAAGATTTTTTACTGCACAGAGGTCGCTGCCCTTTACCCCACATTGTTCAGGGGTCAACTGTACATACAATAAAATTCACCAGTTTGAAAGCGTGCCATTTAATGAGTTTTGGCAAGTGTGTCCCGTAGCGTAGCCATGACCATGATCATGGGCCCGGAATATAACTTCAGGCCTTTTGCAGTCAGCCTCCTGCTCTCCCCCTGGCTCAGGAAATCCCAAGTTTTGGAGGGCAGGAAGTTTTGTCTGCCCTTTT